TGCTGTTAATGTCTTGCTGGTGCGCTGCTCCATGGCTGCATTCTTTCTTTGGGTTTACGATCCTGACACTTTCTTTATGGCCTCTTTAAATTCAGCTTTTGGAATCCAACACGCAGAGCTAATTAGGCAGGCTGCAAGACACCCTCGCCAAACAAGTCAAAACATTTTGAAGCCATTCCAGGGCTGGACTTGATGTGAACAGTAAGGCAATATTACTCACGTTTGTTGACATATATTATTATGGTTATTGCCATTATACCCCAACTCCCCAGAGTGCTGTTTAAATACATGATACAACAGATGAAAGCAAGCAGATAGCGAAAAAAGGAAAAATCGTGTAGCTGTTAGTTTTTGGCATTGTGTAATTAAACCATCTTCTTTAGTGTTATTTTTGCCAGTATCTAATTAGCAGAGCCATCTGCCTAAGAAGTGCTGGACCATCTGTCTGGAGTACTGTTCTGTTCATTTCTTGGTTCTTGACTAATTAACTTCTTTCTCTATGAAATGTAGTAGTACATTCTGTTTCTGCATTTCAAAGTTCATATATAAATATATATATATGAATGTATACCTGTCTACTTGTATATGTTTTGAGTGTCTGTGCAGCTGTGGGACCATAGTTCTCCTGGGAGGTCTGATTATACTCAGTTATGTGTGCAGCTTCCACTGTAGGTGAAAGCCACACTTTTTTTGTTGACCTGGCAGTAAAACTAATACATCACTCACTTAAATCATTCTAATTGACCAGTCCTTTCTTGACTGTGTTCAAGTTTCACATTTCCTGTCTATATTTACTAATTGAAGTTAGAATCATAGAAGGGTACCATATTAAATTCAAGTACTTAAGGCTGGTTTTCTCCCTGTTGTATTTTGTAATTTTTCTGGAAAATTATATAATTATTTAKGTYAGAAGGGACCTCCAGATATCTTCCCTGGGTACTTCCTTTGTTGCTGCATGTTGAGCATGTAAGAGAATCCCTTGRCAGTTACTTCTATGAACATTATTTACTGTTTCTACACTTTCCATGTTTCTCTTTTAGTGTTCTTCAAACACTTCCACTGATTTTGGATAAATCAGTTTAAATTAATGATTGTCTTTCATTTTTCATTGGAGTTAATTTGTTTGCAGTTATTTAGTTTAACTTGCTGAATTTAGTTTAATTCTAAGAGAGACTCTTATTGTTCATCCAGAGAAGTTACTAAAATATTTTTTTCCAAAGAATATTATTAATTTCCATAATGTAACTTCTAATTTAACATATATGGGTGTTGGATGTACATTTTTCTTCAATTTGAAGATAATGGTTTCATTATATATTCTTGAGTTGGAATTTTTTTCCTCACTGGCTGGAATTTCTCTCTTCCTACTACCCCTTGAAAATGTCAGGAGAGATTTCATCTGAAGTTTTGAAGTTCTTTACAAACATCAATATTTAATAAACTGATACAATTATTTACAATTGAAATTTTACAAAAAGCTGCCTGCTATCAGTTTGGAACTTGACTTCAAGCTTAGAGTTAAGTGTGCACCAAAGCCTTGGGTTTATTCAGTCTGATTTTATGTCAGATCCGTGTGGAGCTTTGTGGTTCGTGCATTTTTTTTTTTTACCAAAGAAAACAATATGGGTTTAAATGAGAACTGTGACATCCTCATTGGAGTACACTGGGTTAAATTCAAACTGTTATCTGTCGAATGTATTCTCTAGAATTGCTCACATTGACTTCCACACTGCTAAAAATCCCACTGCATCACATAAGGTTTATTTATGTATAAGAGAATGTATTTATAAAGAAGATTGGGAAATTAGGAGTACAATAAGTGAAGGCATTAAATTTACTGAGGTGCTGGAAAGACCAYATCGACCACAGGATTTATAAAAGCSATGTCATTGCAAATATTGTCAGCTTGCTCCCAGAACTGACTGATGTGCCACCTCACACCCTGCTCCTAAACCTGTGCAGCTGTGTTCTTTGCAGAGATGTGTAGCTGTAACTGTGTGTGACCTATCCTCATTTCCTCTGACACTGACTTYCAAATCCCTATTTGTTTTTTCCCCAGAGCGAACAAATTTGAGTGGTTTGGTTCAATGAACTTCATTGTTATCTTAAGTAGAATTATAATATTAATTAAAACGAGTGCACTGAATGATGCAGGTTGTACTTTGCATTTGAAAATTAAAGGTTTATGTCAAGAAAAGTAGAAAAGAAAATATCCTAACAATATAAACCTCAGCTGTATAGACCTTCATAGTGAATCAAATATCCAACATGGTATTCGTATCATATCTGCACTCCTCTGAACTTCATGGAAATGCCATCAATCAGTATTAAGCAGGAGAATATGTCAATTTAAGGGAAGCAGTKGATAACAGTAAAATCTTTAAACATGGTTTTGCACTTGCTTTCAGGAATACTGCAATCTATGTGTGTCCATCTGRTCTTTTAGAATGAAAATTTCCAAGTCATAATCTTCTAATGGYAAAACCCACATTGTTATTATTCTGTTGGGACATTTTGTTTTGTCTTTATGTGCTGAAGATTCAGGACACAYGTTTTCATCTTTTATTCCCACACTGAAATGACATTTAGTTTGAGGAGTTTGCTACATGTCTTCCTCCTGCATATAAGCAGTAGACTGTGTTGTRTATCTAAATTTCCTTTTTTTGGGGAGCTCCCCTGAATTTCCTGAAGATTGGAAGGAAGAAAGAAATAGAGCTTTGTACAGAAGTGTTGTCCTGCATTACTGAACTATGTGGGARCCTTAGGGACCAAAATACAACTGATTGAGCTACTCAGCTCTTTTCAGATGCCTTTGTACTCTATTTAATTTGCAGCCTCCTCTATCATTATCTCCTCTAGCAGTTGTACCATGGGCTGTAGGGCTATAAGTACACTTATTTTCAAATCTGGGATTTAACTTTGTCACCAATGTGTCTGCATTTATTACTTGTCCAGACAATATTTCTCCTTTTTAGCAGATGTTGTCATGAATTGGGTTTTCCCAGAGGATTTGCAATTTGGTTGAGTTGTAAGCATATATATTTATATACAGTTGTCGCAGTTTCTTCTGTTTGGGTTCTCACGTGTGCTGTTAACCATGATGTCCAGAAATATTCAGAATATAATATATTATTTCGCATCCTTCTCCTTCAAATTACTATTACTTTAGAATTAGAGCCAATTGAAAGCTGGGTATTTGGCCAATATCTTTCAATATTTGAAAATTGATTCATTGATAAACATGTTGTATTTAATACAATCATTTTCCTGCTTGACATGTTCATGCTTGACATATTTTTCTCAGTTCAGTTTTGGCAAGAATTTTCCTTTAAAGCTTGCTTTTAAGCGCCCATATTTCACTCCCTTTCTGCTCTGATCTCCTTCTGGTAACTAAGTCTTCAATTTCTCCAGGCATCTGATTTTTTTTTTGTGTTTTTCAGATATAACATGTTCAGTACTTGTATCTAGAGCCATAAAACACAGAGATTCAGTGTGTCCTAATGGATTGCTTAGGAATTTAATTGGTTGTCACATGATCTCTGTTACGAATGTGAATTGCTTTTTGCATTACYGAGTCAAAAGAGTTAAGTCATTGCYGCATTTTCATCTAACTTAGGATGAGATTTCTGTCACACTGCTAGATACGGTTTGTCATAAATTCTAGGGTCATTCACAAGTGGATTCTTCCAGAAGTTTTCAATATATTCCCCAATATGCCATAGTAATTTAGCATTGCAAGAGCAAATGCTGTGAATAGGAAGGTTTACAATGGGAGAACTAATAACATTAGTTTTCATGAGTCTTTTTTTCTTCAAGTGAAAAACGCTCATTCTTGGGCTTGTTGAAGCACAAATACTCTGAAGGTTTTTTCCCCCTTAATTTAAATAGATTTTCACCCTAATATTAATCAGAGAGTCTGCTTGCCATTAGTGCAGTCTCCATTAAAAGACAGGCACAAAACATTTCCTATATTAAATCTGGATAAATGGTCYTTCATTATTTCCTTGTAAATAAAAATGAAAAGGCTGTGGTTTCAATAATTAGGCAGCAGTGGTTACCTCAGAAATCCCAATTCTTCTTAATAAAATGTGACGTGCTTTGTGGCATTTTTATCTAAAGAGCATACGGGTGTGCACTGTTGAGGCAAAAGAATGCAGGCTGGTTTAAAATGCGCTTTGACTCCAGAGCGTACACAGGCATTCAAATATGTACATCTATTGGCACATTAACACCAGGCACACAACCTGCTCCACCGAACAGTAAAGTTTGTCACTCATAGCTGCTGAATGTTAAATCTGGAAATAACTGGAATTAACKCATGCAGTGAAACTGKAGTAATTCAGGGTGGGTATTACAGTCCTGGCATAAATGTGTTGAAGCAGAGMGACAGCTCAAAAAATGAGGATAAATTGCTTCTGCTTTGCAGTGCACTGTTTCCCTGTTGTCTTGTATGTCTCTGCCCATTGCTTTTTTCTCTGGATGGATGTTTTAGTGCTTCTGATTAGTGCTGCAGTTACACTTTTAGAGACTAAAATCTCCATTTGATGCTTGAGATAAATACTYCAAAAAGTGCAATAGGGCAAACTTTCCCACGGTGCAAGGTTTCTCAGCAGAGCTGACCTCAGATGCTTTGGTAATGAAGCTCAACTCTGCTGGAGAAAGAGGTTCAGCCTTTCTGTGTGTTCCTCTATCTTCTTACCTTAATAAAATTCACCAAAAAAGCAGCTAAATAGTACTGAATGTAACTGGTTATTTCCACTGTGGTGATCAGTATAGTGAACCACGATGTCGGCCAGCTTCCTTTTGGATTAAAATAATGAAAAACTTCCAACAGCAAAGCTACATTTCTACAGAGAAAACTCTTAATAGGCGTTTATGGATAGGATCATCTATAAAACATCAGTATGTCTGAAACACATATCACACACATGGGCTTAGATAGCTCAAAGGCTCTTATTTCTGTGTTCCCTGCATCTCTAACAAATTCCTTTTGGTTGCAGGCAGTGGAGTGGCAATGTGATGAAGCTACTAAAAGAGCCTGTTACAGTAAAGGCAAATCAAAGGTAAGCAAGAGACAGCTGTTCTAATAAAAAAATTATGTTAATAGCAGATGTAATTCAGTGTGTAAATTTCTACCTTGTCCATTTTTACTGTCTCCCTTTCTGAAGAGAGATGTAGGAAAGGAGTCTGACACTGGTGTGTAAGCAAAGGAATAAAGAAGAATATAGGGAGCACAGGATGAGAGATAGAGTCATGTGATTCTTGTCTGAAATGACCATGAATTTAGCTTCCAACAATTGATCATTTTGACTCCACAGGTTAAACGTGGCATGTCATATGTAGTGAACTGTATTCTCACTYCATTTTCTGTGCTGTAAATCCTGAGTAACTGTGTAATTACTTTGTAAAATTCTCAATTAATATCCCTGTGTTTAAGATGCAATTTTATTWACTTTTTTATTTCTTGTCTATTGGTGCTATGAAGGAAATAATATTAAACTCACTAACTTCTTAGACTTTGAACTTGATATATTTTTTGTATTTAAAACCAAATCTTTATCTGGACAAGTGCAGTTTCTTTTAYTCAGTACAGGTAAATGTAATGGTAAGATGGAACCTGCGGCTGTCCCAGTCTGAAGCTAGTTATCAAATTAATTATAAAAWCAGTTAGAATTTCATGCAATCTATTTTTTAAATTATTATACTGCTTAATGGTTACAGTTAGTTCAGTTAAAATATGAAAGGAAAACTCATAGAGATAAGTGCAAAAGAGCCTACTTGTTTTAATTCAGTAGAATGTCTTTCATACATCATTGTGGTGCAAATCTCAAAGAACTCAAAGAAGCTTCAGAAACATATTCTGAAAGCTCTGACATCTAGTAGAGAAGGAATCTCTTCTGCATAGATATCTAATCACTGACTTTTTAACTTCCCCCATTAAACAGTTAATTTCCATCTCCTCTTTTACTAAGTGTTGGAAAATAAAATTGCAGCGTATGACTGCACATTTGAGATTAAAGGGAAAGAATGGCCTCACTTCAGAAGCAGGACCATGTTATACCTTGAGGTATAGAAAACAAAGAGCTTTTAAAACCTCATATTTTAAGCAAATGTTTAGTTTTCTAAGTTGTTACTTCTCCCTAGAAATTTTATGCTTCAACATGTAATATATCCCTCMAGCCTTTATCCTCAGCTTTCAGATGGCAATACCTGTAAGAAAGGGGATGTGCTAAGGSTCAATAGAATATGATTGCATTGATCAAGGGGCATATACAGTAGAAACTATTCTGGTAGGAGTTCAATATGTAACTAAACACATATGGCTTTGTTTTACAGTGATTTCCCAAGTTTAAAGCTGTGAGAATAACGTTCAACTTGTCTGAAAGTCACAGTGCAGGGACTGTGATCTAACATAATCAATGGAAGTAGTTGTAAATTCAAGTCTGTAGTAGTGCACTTTTGAATAAGATGTTGACAAGACTGTTCCCACACATTTGATTCAACAGTGTAAAGCATGTTGCTGTTAAATAATTTTGCTGTGACAAATACTCAACTGGTGATAAACATTTAAGAATGGACCTCAGTGTAGTTTTTTATTCAAGCAGACTTTCATTTATGCTCATCACACCCTTTTGAAGAAGATGGTGATTGGAACTTAAGCTGTCACTGTAAAGTAGTATCTATACTATTCAAATAATAACCTGATTGTTTCTCAGTATTGTTATTATTTGGTTAAAGATTTCATTTGTACCCATAGCCATGTTCCTCATTCACCATCTAGAAGAGGAGTATAGTCCTGATGCTTCATTACATTAAAAAGTAATCCTGGTAGTAAATATTTATCTTCTTATTGTTACTGTTTGGGTTTTTTTTTGGTGTTAAGACTTTGTGGCCTGAGAGCTTCATATGGGAGTTGCTGGAGAATGCAGAAGTATTGTCTCAGGAGACCTACCCACCTGGAACGACAACTCTCTTTTTGAACTTTTCATGCCTCTTTTGTTTTTGCTAATGTGGTCAAGGTTAAAATCAAAGGATGAATTTATGACCAGAGAAAGGGTAGTTCAATGATGTTTGTCTTTTATTGCCTTATTGCCAAGATTAAAGCAAGGTCACTGTACTCTCTGTAGAAGGAGATGCATGCAGATGAGGAAAGCAGCACATATGCAACATGGTTCACTTCCTAGTCAAATCACAAAAGCTTTGCCTTGGAAAAACTGGGAATTATCAGACCAGTATGAATTCACTCCAGTACCACAGTGAACGATCCCTCTTCAGCAGAAATCTCCTGGCAAACACAATTCCAGTTACTGCTATCAGAAAAACTCTTTCCTTGGCTGTTGTATAAATATATCCAGCTCAAATCGCAGAGTTGCTGGGGGTTGCATTCCTGTAACATTTCTCAGGTGAATTCAAATTTCAGGGCAGGCAAATGTAATTGTAGGAAGAGACAGAAAAGGCTGGAGACAAAATATGTRAGACTGGCCCAGACTGTGGCAAAGGAGAGCTGGGGATTGCAGGGATGGCTGTGGGTAGGTTTTTCATTCAGATCCTGGTTTCTCTTGAAGCTCTGCTGACCACAGAGCAGCACAAGGGCAATGAGTTCAGGTGGCAAAACTGAAAGTCACTTTACTGATGGACTCAATGCCCCGAAACCAGAAGGTGGCTTTGAACCCTGAAGCAGCTCAAGTAGTTTTGAGATAATGGTCAGTGAAGCACAACTCTTTTTCTGTTCTTGAGAAAGAAGCTGCATGGAATTTTTGCCTGTAGCTATTATCAGTTGTTCTGAGGTTTGTGCTTTAGAAGCCAACAAGAGAAAAGAGTTGAAGGGGAAAATATATAGGGACATCTGTCACATTTGACAGCGTAATGCGCACTTGACTTTTGAAGGCCGATGTTTGTTACTCAGACTTCAGACATTTATACATGAATTTAAGCTGTTGCCTAAAATATCTAGTGGCTCCAAGAGTGAGCCACACAAAATTATGTCCTTGTGGCCAGCATGCATTAGCGTTCAGAAGTCTAAAACACCACACATGATTAAGAGAATAAATTTGCCCATTCATGCTGACCCTTGTGGTAGGGAATGCTAGAAAGCAAAAATGTAAATGCGCCTGGTAAGTGTACAATAAACCAAAGAGAGGTTAAAAATAATAATGCTAATTGAAATTAAGTCCCATCCCTTGCTTATTTAAGAATCTAATGGGTGGGTGTGTTATTATCTGAACCTTCAATAAAAGTATTTAAGAATTAAACACAGGTGTGTTTAAAATGTTGACCTATGCAGGAAATATTGCTGCAGGAGGATAACTATYCTGTGGTCAGACTGACCTTGAACTGTCGAGGTGGTCTTAAACTTAAGTAACAGCCTAGCCTGCCTGGCTGCTGAATTGTTTCTAGTAGTYGTATTTTGTTTCAGATATGCTAATACAAAAGTAGAAAGTACTTCCTAAATGTATTTCTTTATTTGAGATRTATTTTTATGGGTCAATAGGAAAGTAGATGACATAGAGGCCAAGATGAACTGGAGAATAAGACTACATAAAAGATGGCTGTTAAGCCTAACACCAGCCCCCTGAACTAAAACATCCTTTGGTTTTGAAGTCCTTTGCCATTTCTACAACACTCATCTCATTTTTGTGTGTGTCAGAAGTGAACCAGTACAGCCAAGCTTGATTTCAGAGCTAGAAAAGTATCTCTGAACAATTCAAGTGGCTAAATAGCAAAGTCCTTTTTCAGTTTGCTTTTGGGTAGCAATAGTTTTATTCATGGCTAAGCTTTTTTCAAATTTCCTTTTGCATTAATGTGGATATTTTTTCAATTTAAGAAAAGTCATTTAAAAAAGTTACTATTTCAGTTTCCTTTTTTTTTTTTTTTTTTTTTTTTTTTTTAACAAAAAATTTGATATGAGTTGTCTTATTTGCCCTGTTGCAGTAACAATTGTTGTCAAGTTGGCACTGGACATGGGAACATTAAAGAAAGAATCTTGTGATTCCCAAGAATGTCAGAGTTTAAGAAAAYAGCATTATTTCTGAACAAAATGAGTGGGTGATCAGCGTGCAAATAATTTGGAAATGACACTATTTCAGGGAGCTCTGSAATATGAAGAGGAGAGGTTGGATGGGCTGTAATGTCAGAACCCACTTATTTTTCCTACACTTACATTCCATGCCTTGCTACAAAGGGCAGAATGGAAACACACCAAGGAATAAATTACTGCCTTATATTCTGTGAACCTCCTTGAGCACCCTTCCTACAAAAAACAAAAACAAAAACAAAACAAAAAAACCAACCAACCAAACAAAAAAAAACCAACTAAATAACCAAAACCAAAAAAACTTGCCTTCTACTTTTTAGGGTTTTTTGGTCATGGTGTTAAAGCAGCCTGAAACAAGGAAACTGCTAAAACTACCAACACTGCCAAGATGYGAAATAATTACTTTTAAAATGATTTGTTGTACTGCTCAGCTCTGTTATATAGCTGTGTATTATCTTCTTTTTGGTTTAAAGAATATTAAGATACAGTTTTATAAAGTTCAGTATAAAAATTTCTTAATTTTTACCCAAATCTTACTTCTAAGATGTTTGTCTCTTACCCTTAAAGGCTCAAAGAGAAGCATTTAAAAGCTACATTTTCATGAGAGGCTAATGCAAGTGTGGGTTTGAGAGGTATTTTTCCAAGAGGTAGTTTTTTTTTTTCCTGAGATTTTAGAGGGTTTTTTTTGAGTTTATTTTTAACTTTACTTGGGTGAGGAAAGGTATAGAAGATAAATTCTGAGACTTTTCTCAGAGACCTGTAAAGTACTTTCTCCATCCTCTTTTGCAGTCTATTTTGTGCCTGTTCAATTTATTCAGGATTATATTTGTTGTCTTCCAGGATGAGAGTCTATTTTCAAGATAAACAAGCAATCCATTTAATATAACTGTAGGCCAGATAATGGGACTTCTGTGCTATTACTATTGTATAGATTTACTTACATGATTTCACTTAATATCTGCTAGAATTGCATAGCTATATTTTCACAAGGTTTTTTTTCAGGCTTTTTATGAGAGTAACTTGTGGAGAATGCTAGAGAGCATTCAGATGTAAGTTTCCAGGGAATTTTATTTTCTCCAAACAAATTGTTGATCATTTTATYGGATATGGGCATTGATTTTTTTCAAGGGAAGTGTTTGAATTTTTCCTCAAACAAGTTCTGGGAGATTTTTAATATTGGAGGAGAAAGCTTTCTGTCTGAATAAACAGTAGAAATTGCTGTTGATTTCTGGCTCCTGAAATGAGAGATACAAATTTCATAAAGCCTTCACCCATCCTATTGAGGTAAAAAATGTGTTAAATTATTCCTTATTTAATTTATAATTAAATTATAAAAGGGAGAGCATCTTTGTATTGTGGTAATGAATTTTTTTGAGGAACTTTGAATTAACAGGAAAGTAGACATAATAAAACAGATAGGGTAAATTATTAAATTAGTGGTAACAAATCTGCATCTGAACATCTCAAAAATTTTGGTTGTATTAGTTTCATTTTATTCTAATTACTGACAGCCAGTTCTTTCCTCTGTTTTCCTTGCAGCTTCCTTCCTTGGCCTAATCTGTCTGAAATCAACATCTTATCTCTTGAGACAGTAGTGTATTATTTAAGACAGCCTCTTTCAGATCATCTATTTGAACTATCAGTTTCAGCTAAGCTTTGAAATATATCCTGAGAAGAAATCTTCAGTGCTAGAGAGGGTTATTGTTATACTATTAAGAGCTTTTCAGAGAGGTTGATGGATGCATGTGTGTGAATAAGAAATCTGTGCATATTGGGATTGCTAACTCAGGTGTGCTTAAGCCTTGTTTACATAAATTTTTTCTGTGTGGATAAAAAACCTTGGAAAGCAAAGTGTTATTATTCTCCTCTGTACTCTTCAGTATCACTGARTATATTCTCTTTTCTGCATGGCAGGAGGAATGCCAGAACTACATCCGAGTGCTCCTYGTTGGTGGCAACCATCTCTTCACCTGCGGAACCAACGCGTTCACTCCAATCTGCACCAATCGCACGGTACGAGTGCAGAGTTTTGCCCCACAAGCTGAAGTCCCTGTTYTGAGCCAGCAGATTAAAAGGCAGAGCATGCTTTGGCTGAGAGTTAGCTGTTTGTGTATTGATGGGTGAGCTGGTGTGTGAAAGGCTGATTTAGCTGGTGGCAGGCCAAATAGGAGAGCTCACCGATCTCTTTTTGCAGCATTTTCCTCAGCTGTGGCAGATGCACAGCTATGAGCAGCTCAGTTCCTCCTACACGCCAATTTTTATGAACCTTGAGTATGTAAGATTTCTGCCACTGTCAGGTTTGATTGGCATCAATTGTTTTAGTTATAAAATGTGGTTGTGTAGCTGCACACTGTGTATGTGTAGTTCTAGAGAAATGAGAGTACCTGTATTMGTGATTTCTGACTGGTGAAAAATGAGAACTCTTGATTGAGAAGATCTGTCATTCTGTTTTCAAAAAAAGCCCAATTGTAGCATCAGTAAGAGTCATAATAAATATCAAAATGTCACTCTTAGGACTAGGCTGCCTATTTGTTTTAGAAGGGGAGAAAAACTTAATTACAAAGAATAGCTGTATTRCTAAAAACACCTCCTTGGCAGATTTATTACATTTAAACCCATTGTACCTTGATTTCCAAATAGCATATTAACATCATGCTTTTGTTTATGGCTGAAAGTATTTGGGCTACTAAATCAGAGATGGTTCTGCTGAGTTGGAATGCTCCTTTTGTTAATCTCATTTGTCATGTGAGATTCTTTTCTAAAACACACCAACAAAACAAATAATAGGTTTTTCTTGTTTTTGTCTARTTGTTTGATACCTGGTGAATACCTTCGTTGTTTCTGGCAATCAGAATGGTTTTATTTTTAAGAATAACAATCTTTTCAGAGATAACTCATTTTTGAGCCCCATCTAAATAGAAAATATTTAAATGTGGTGGATAATGATTGGCATGCATGTTTTACATATCAAAGTGACAAAAGTGAAATCTGACAACATTACAACAAGACTTTTTAATGAGACMATTTCAAATTGATGTAAAGGTCAGCTCATCACTATTGTACAACACCAAAGGTGGTAATTGGTGTTTATCATAGGATTTTGCTCAGATTTCAGTGTAGCTGAAATGATWATTTTCAGGTCAATTTAACCCCTGTTTCTAATTCTTTTATAGTTAAGCAACTTGACAGAGATACATGACCAAATCAGTGGCATGGCTCGTTGTCCCTACAGTCCCCAGCACAACTCCACTGCTCTTCTCACTTCCAGTGGAGAATTATATGCTGCTACAGCCATGGATTTTCCAGGAAGGGATCCTGCTATCTATCGAAGCCTGGGGTCCCTTCCTCCTCTCCGAACTGCCCAGTACAACTCCAAGTGGCTGAATGGTGAGTGCTGAAGGACTGTGAGACTCATCTTTTTTAACTCATGTTCTTCATATTCATGACGTTGAAATTCCATTCCGACAATTTGAATGGTTTTGGAGTATTGTTTATTTAGATTTTTAATTATTTTGCTTTTTTACAGATATTATTTTACTAGTGTAAGTATYGTGGAATTTAGTCAGTATAGGTGAAGTTTGGAGATCTGCCCTTAAATATAAGTCATGTTTGCAGGCAGAGGGATGAGCTGCACTTACAAGGCTCTTACATGGCAAAGCTGAGTCAGTTTTGAGCAATACCTTGCACTGAGGATTCTTTTCTGAGTCCCTCAAAAGCTTAGGGCAGAAAATAAACAGTTTAGAATGGACTGAATTCTCCTGGATTTCCCTGCAGCTCCCAGCCTTGACTGACAAAATGGAAAAAGTTCAGCTTTCAAGCTGCTTGGGTGGYAGACTGACATTTCTGACACTATAGCCAAAGGATAGGGAATAGWGTACAAAACATATCCTAAAATTGTGTTTAGAAGTCAGTTTTGTGTTATGGATGATAATCACCTGATGGGAAAAGCTGTAAGCAGATAGTTCCTGAGGTATGACAGACCAAGTTGCCATTTTGTTTATTATAAAAAGAAAAAGCAGATTATGCTAAAAAGAAAACTATTATTAAGCATGAAGAGTGAAATTATGTATATTATAATTTTCCCATACCTGTTATAGAAGAAAAAAAAAATCATAATGTGATACAACAGTCACTATTCCTACAGCACATTTCATTATGATGGGATTATTCTCATGTTTGAAATTAAATACAAATATAAAACCTTMTAGCTCCAGAACATTTAGTTAGCTGAAACTACCAGACTTTATTTTGAATATTTCAATTCTCATATAATGTGAATGCTGAATTGTGCTTATATGATTGGTATATTTTACATGAACAATGAACCCTCAGAGGTAGCTTGCAGAAATTTGTCACCTTCTCTGAAGGTCAGATTATTTTAGAATGTTAATTATCAGCAACAACAAAAAATCCTAAATTGTAAGGAACATGACAGAATTATAGCAGTGCAAAAGAAATGAGGGGGGAAATGAACTCATTGTATATGTATTCCYGTTCAGGCACCCTTTGTCCACATASCTGGATATTGGAATTAATTGCAACCACACCTGTGTGCTTTTGTCAAAGGGGAAAAARTCTTGACACAGAATTTGCAGTTTATCTGTACATTTTTATGCCAAAGGCACACTGTAATTCCCTCTAGACTTCACTAATTAATGATATTCACTGTATTCACATTTTGCCTATTAAAAGCTTCAAATGTACTTATACATTCTCCATTACAGCTCATTCTTCTGTCTCAAAACTGTTTATAATTAAGTTACCAGGAAACTGTAGCTTTTATCTTTGGGGAGGAAGAACAAGATTAGTTTTGCAATTGGAGCCAGTTCAACTAAGTCCAATAAAAGACTGAAAGCAGCCCAGTTACCTTTATTAAAGGAAGGGGGAATATTTTCTGGGGTAGCTAGGAGTGGGGGAKTCATCTGCTTGACTTGGGGATTCATCTGCTTTAACGTCAATTTTCATGCTTATTCGATTCAGTGCCAAGAAACTACATTAGCTTTTCTGTGCTTGGACTGAAGTGAAGATTTTGCTGCTTTCACTGAGAAAGTAACACAGATCGATAATCCTGCAACAAAAGTGAGGCATCAACTGGAATGGAAGCTCCCTAGTCAATATCTGTTCAGCAGCAGCTGCTCTGTTACTGTAATTCAGCCTCATTTGAGGTGTTCTTGTTCATGAACATGTGTCTRTCAATGCTTCTAATTCAAAGTTTTCCCCAGAAACACTATGTTTTTTCACACTTAGATTTTCTGCTCTGCAAGTCATGTCGGACCAATTCAAATAATCTCTGGGGGTGATAGCAGTACATTTAAAACACAGCTGATTATCTTGCTCTGTGCTTTATTGAAATGCAATGAAGACATTGTTGATTTYAATGGCTAGCACAGCAAGTTCAGAGATCTTCAATCCCATCAGTCAGGCAAATAGGACATGCCTATATGCCTAGGCAGTCTGCCCCTGGTATTCACTGCACCTTTTGGTGCAGGATCTTGACCTGTGAAGCTCTGAATCTTCTTCACAGAAAAAAAAAATTGTTCTTAATCTTTCTTTCCAAAAGATCTGTAATCACAGGGACAATGTTTTGCAGTGTGGGAGGGGAAAATGGAGCTGGTGTGTCAGGTGGCTGGGATGGGATCCCRTATTACCATGGTGTGGTTTCAGCCTCTGGAATCACAGTTTTCACAAAGAAAATGCATTTATGTTGTTGGCCTGAGTTCCCCATTTGTTCTTGTTCAGCTAGAGCAATTTATTATTGGGTCCTGCCTTCTACTGGGGACTTTATAGGCCGGGAAGCAATCCACATCAGCTGGGTAGGTTTGTTAACAGCTGTTTACTGAGCATCATTCTGATCAGTTGCTTAACATTAGCAGATTATGGAGAAATTARGTGAATTTTCATTTCTGTATTATCATTTTCTTGATGCACTCATCACTCAATTATCTGGGGGAACAAAGGGTTGGATAGTTCAGTTAAAAGAATTAATTATTCAGCATATATATAAAAGTAAGCTACAGGAATATGCTGAGAGAATATAGCTGGAGGGAAAAAAGAAAATTTATGTGAAACACAAAGATTTTGAGCAAGCACAGGCCTGAAAAGTTATATGGACAGCACAGCAACACTGTCAACAAAGAAATCCTATTTTTGACTGGAGCTAGTTGTTATGGACCCATCTTTGAGGGTCCCTGAATATACTGGTTTTTCAACTATTAGACAACCTGCTTCAGGATTTGAGTCCCCTGAATTTTGTCGAGTTTAAAAATTTTTATTGGCAGAAAGGACAGTTTACCAAAAGTCACAGGTATCTGCACACTTTCCTGAAGTTTTTCCCATTTTGGAAAATTTTAGAMTGTACACAGTGACTTCATTGATGGAGGAAAGAAGCATTTTGTGGTAGTTATTGAACTTAGTCTCCTTTTAACATTTACAGTAGTAAGTAATCTATTCATCTCTTGAATATCTCTGAATATCATCTCCAGTTATGATTTTTTTTTACTTCAGAACTTTGCTTCTAGAAAAAGAAATGGATGCTCTGTTTATCAATGCTACTTCTGCCTTCCTGGTGCCCCTATAGACCTTAAATGCATCTGGCCCAAAGGCAATGAGCAGRTTTTTGACCACAGTTGGAACCATGATGAGCAGGAATTCTGCTCATCTCCATGAGGAGGTGGCACTGAGGCATCAGACCACTGCAGCAGTGTGACCTGAGCACTCACCTTAGTTCAACAGGGACATGGTTGCTCACTGAGGATTTATCCACTGACCATGAAGAGACAGATGCTGTTTTATCCTCTTGCCAGCCCTGTCAGTACTGTGTAACCATGGCACTGTGCTCAAAGGGAACAGGATCACCCAGAGAAGTTGACAGAGGGCTGCAAACCTGCTCTCTCCCTATGCAACAGCTCAGCTGGCTGCAGGATAGGAAGCCTGCAAATGTGAAAAAGAGAACCCAACTCTACCTCCCATTATGTCATATTTTGGCCTTCTCTTTTCCCATGTAAAGGAAAATGTAGTGCCTGAAGCTGCTCACATGRGTATGGATATATACACAAACAAATGAAGGTGTAATTACTGTTTACCAGTAATTTACTTGGTAAGGTGTCATGTCCTGTTCTCCTTTCTTTTTCTCTCTGAATCCATGTTCAAGTCCTTCTGTGCTCAAGGGAAACAATTTGAGGTGATTTGGCACACAGTGAGGATGGTTTAAAGCAGACTTCTCTTCCACTGATTTCTGCTCCTGACCAAAGCAATCAGCAAGACCTTGAGCTTCAGCCAGCTGCTCAGGTCAGTAAAGGGCAGCATGTGCTGGAATGTTTTAAAATTTCCCTTGTAGTATTTAGTAAAATTAATAGTCTGCCTTAGCAGTCTGTTGTGGACATTATTAGATTATAACAAATAAATTAATATTTCATTAAGCTGGCATGCTGTTTATTTCTTTAAACTTTTTGCTGTTTGTGTCTTTAAACTCTCAGTCTAATAATGTTTAAATCATACCTGGAGTTGATACAGTAGTTATAGTATGCTTCTAATTAGGCTTTGCTGTAAAGCAGATCACTTTGGTTATCTGCAAAGTGCGGTAGAGGCAGAATTCATCATAGTTTGCTGTAGAGAACAAAGAGAAGTAAATGTAATAGTTGTATTTGTAGTCCACAGTTGCAGTGTGTCCAGATTGGCAAGGATAAGCCTTCACTGTTTAGACTTAGAAACCTTTTCTGTAGTCCAACATTTACAGTTAGTAAGGGTGTTTCTGCTTTCAGTACACCTCTTTAAGTCACTAAATGTTTGATCTGATGCTTCAGTTTGAAAGTTTGCCTTAGTCTATAATGCCTGTTTGCTTCTGTCAGCCAATAAAAGGGCAAAAGAGATTTAAAAAAAAAGAAAAGGAAATCCATTTCTGTTTCACCACATGGAGWAACACGACATTTGGTTTCAGAATTTGCCAAATGCTTTTGCTTACAATTGCACAGGTCTCCAACTATCTTGAAATGATTGTAGCTTTCTTCACCCTAGATATGAAATGATAGATGCTGTGGGAACTTAGTAAATAAATAAAAATTGTGTTCTRAATGTCATGCCATTTCATCAGTGGGCAGACCACAGATGATTGAAATGTAATCCTATATCAGATTTAACCCCAAACTAGAATAAAATWAAATTAAATTAAATYAAATCAAATCTCTTGCAAATTAGAAGCCTTTCCATCTGTGAAGTGTTGGAACTGTTCTGCTTTACTGGTAGACATAAGATTACCATTTTTCGTCTTGCTGTCCTAAGCATTTGGTTATTAGATACTCTTCTAAAGTAGTTCTTCTGGGGTCACTTTCTTAAAAAAACATTTTGCTTAATAAAAAACTTTTTAATCCAGAGCAGATACTTTTAGTCTT